AGTTTTCACAGTTAGTGACATCTGCTGGTGGATCGCCATCGCATTTTATCGAGCGTTATTATGGCCGTCTCGACACCTCCTCACTGCCAAAAGTACCGATGTCTGGGTTAAAATGACCATGGTGTCCGTGTGCTTAAGAGGCCACAGGGAGCGCATTATCAAGAGAAAGATGATAAACATCAGAAATGCTGAGCAGTTGACTGTTTAAAGATGAGCTAATATTTTATCAACCAATTAGACAAATATCATATGTATGTGTATACATTACTTGGAAACACTGGTGTAAAACACAGTTATTCCTCTTGAGTTATTCTTTTCTATTCTGTCTCACACATTTTTATGATAAATTGTGCTGTCATAGAGTGGTGTGCATTCTCACAGTTGATGGATGAGTAGGTATGTCCACAGATTGGTGAAAAAAAGGCCGACTAGAAAAATCCCAAACCAAAGATTTATTCATATTATTCATGTTGCTCTGAGATCCAGACAGAAATGTAGCACAAACACATCCTCAGTCTGTGTAAATAAAAGCTTTTGTGACCCTCCAAGTGAGAGGTTTCAGGTTATATTTACTTTGTGGGATTCCACTTAGTCTGGTTGTGTGTGTTTCTCTACAAAAGTCTCTAAAAAGGCACGTCAGGCATTAATGCACGACTTGGCGTATAAGAAATATTTACCCTAAGCTCTAAGGTTCCGTTGTGTTGTGAACAATAAACAGCAAAAGTATTCATATCTCTTAAATCTTACCACAAGTTTGTTAGCGAACGTCTTCTAACAAACTTCTGAGGGTTTTGGATAACTCTTCTGTTTATATTGAGGTTAAATATGAGACAGGTGGACTTTATTTATAAGTTGACTCCTGAAAGCAGTTGGTTGTGTTTGGTTAGATTTAGGATTGTCAGAGTAAATGAGGCAAAGTATAAATGCTTGCTGCAAGTTTCGGATTTTATTTTAAAGTCTTTTTAGCTTCCACCTAGCAATTACGTGCTGCCACGTGTTGGTTTTGTGACATACGAAACCCTCAGCAGTGAGTGACTGTGATCTAAGTCTAGAGAAGTTTGAGGAGGTATCGATACTTTTGCAAGGCGGCGTATTATGCACGCTTAAGCATGCAGTGTGAAGCATTTGTAAAGAAAGATGAAAGACAAACATCTGAAGACTAACATCTGCATCCTGTTTAATGCTCCAATAACACCTTAAACACCGACATTCTGCAAGCACCCACTTCCATACAGGCACATGCACACATTGGAATATTTTAACACGGTTTTACTAAGCCAGTTCTTTAGGAATTCACTTAAACTGAGAGCAATTTAGTTATTTATTATCCTGAAGCTGATAGGTGCCAGTTTGTTGGTTCACCACATTTTATGTTTTAGAGTGATCAAAGTAAGACAGCGCCTATTCAGTAACACTTAAATATTTTAATTATTTTGGGATGCTAATGTTCATGTGAACACAAATCAACACGATTCAGGTATGGTTTCTGGAAGTTTCCCTTTTTTCTGGTCTGTATTTATATTTTTCAATGTGTTTTATTTTTTATTCATTTAATTTACTTTTTTTTTTTTTTTTTTTTTTTTAAAAAAAAAAACTTCACCCAAAATTATTTTCTTTTAACT